GAGGACAAATTCCACCATCTATTGGTAATCTATCGAATCTATATTGGCTGGATCTGGCTGACAACCAAATAGAGGGCCCAATTCCTGTGTCAGATGGAACTACACTCGGCCTTAACATGTTGGTCCATACCAAGCATTTGTATGTTACTTGTCTTCTTAACTTTAACTTGTTTTATTATTTTCTGTTTCCTTTTTAATAATATCATCTAATGTTTTCTCCTTTATCCACAGTTATTTGGGCCATAATAAACTTTCAGGCAAAATCCCGGAGCAAATTTTCAGCTCAAACATGGCTCTGGTACATGTGTGAGTTTCACTTTTGTTTCTTTAATTATATTCTAACTGCATAAGTTACCAGAAAATAAATAAGCAGAGGGCTTAAAGCTGGAAATTTTCTGCAACAAACAAATGTTGCCTTCTGAATAATCGTGCTTCTGTACCAGAAGAGGGGAAGGGAAGGATGAGTTTTTTAACCACTCAAATTATATTGTTTTCAAATATCGCAATCAGATTGGTTAAAAAATTCATGACTCCCCTTCATTTCCCTCAAATGTTCTTTTGTTTAGTGCAGAAGCAAATCTGCCCTTTTCTTCTTTTCTCCTTCCTTTTCAGTTTTCATCAAATCACAGGCTGGATTGTCGTATGTTTGAAAGCTTTCACTTCTCCTCTTTCTGCCAGGTTATTTGACAGCAACAACCTCAACGGTCCTATCCCTTCAACCCTTGGGCTTGTGAAATCTTTACAGGTGATGTGAGTATCTAGAACACATGCTTAAGCAGATTCAAAATGAGATTATTGTTGGAATTGGATTTTTTTGTGGGTGTGACTGAAGAAGTTATTGTTTTGGCTGCAGACGTTTTGATAACAATTCCTTAAGTGGGAGTGTTCCGTCAAACCTCAACAATCTCACAAGTCTTCAAGAGTTGTAAGCATGCAAAAGATGGAAGATGAGCAGTCTTTGCATTTATTAGTTTATCTTCTTTAATAGAAAATGTTTTGTGAACTTCTTTTCAGGTATTTGTCTAACAATAACCTGGATGGTTCTTTACCCTCCCTTACTGGCATGATCAATCTCAACAGCTTGTAAGCAGTGCAGGCCTTTTACATAACTAAACTACCCCCTTTTTCTTTGTCTTTTCTCCACTTCCTATTTGTCTGCAATGCATGCACTTCATGTCTTCAATTGAAATTGTTATTCACCAAGCCTCCTTCAATTACCCTATACGGTTGTCAATTGGTTTTCATTCTAATAGTATGATTGTGTTCTGCAGAGACTTGAGTTATAATGGATTCAGTCCCTCTGTGATTCCTACATGGGTTTCATCTTTGCCATCCTTAACAACACTGTATGTCCATCTCTCTCTTTTAACATTGTATGAACTATTTTAAATGCAGAACCCAAATACTCTCTTTTAGTCTTTTACCGTCACACTTCATTGAGGGCCATATATTTTGTTAAACTATTGGTGAGAATTTCTTTCCACCCCTAGTGAATATTGTTAACAGCAATATGATGTGTAAAACTTAATCATGCTAGTTAATGGTACAATAAATCCATCGATCCCTGAATGTGTTTTCTCCTCTTCCCTCTTTCTTTCCCTCTCTTCCTTGCCTTCTCACTTTGTTTTTTGCATGTTCATGGACACATGCCCATATTCCTGTATACATACACATTGACGAGTTTCCTTTCAAGTTAAGAGAACAATTGATTTCTTTGCAAGGCAGAAGGATGGAAAACACTCAACTTCAAGGTGAAGTTCCTGTCAAACTCTTCAGCCTTCCACATTTGCAGACTGTGTGAGTATCAACTTCAATTCATGCACTACCATTCCTTGTCCTGGATGTTCCCAACTTTGGTGATCCTGTTGATCTAAACCATGGAGATGATAACTGGAGGCTAATTATTTCCATCTTTGTCACATTGTACAGGGGGCTAAAACGCAACCAGCTAAATGGCACCTTGGTTATAGGCATGGGATTTAGTAACCAGCTGAGCCTTATAGATTTGCAGAATAATTTTATTAGTGGGTTCAAGGGAACAGAAGGATATGACATTCGGATAATGTGAGAGTCATTTCTTATGGCTTTTTTTTCTCCATTAATTTGTTTTTTGCTTAACAACTTGGTGTTATTACTTGAAGGTCAAATTGTCTTTAGATGTATTCTCTTTCAGTGTTAAAGCTTATGAATGTCATTCTTGACTGAATTAATTTATGCAGACTTGCTGATAACCCTGTTTGTGAAGAGACTGAAGAAACAGGAGCAACAAAAACTTACTGTGCAGTTCCACAATCAAATTCCACTTCCTTGTATACTACCCCTCCCAACAGTTGCCTGCCTACTACATGCAATTCAGAACACATTTCTAGCCCCACATGCAGATGTGCAGATCCATATACAGGAATTCTATTTTTCAGAGGAATTTTATTCTCAGACTTGGGGAACTCAACCATATATGTGGTTCTAGAGACATCTCTGAAGCAGTTCTTCCGGTCCAACAATCTTCCTGTTGATTCAGTATCACTAAGTAATCCAAGAATGGATCCTTCTAGATATTTTCTATTAAACCTTAATATCTTTCCATATGGCCAGGATATTTTCAATCGAACAGGGGTTTCTACAATTGCATTTACATTTAGCAACCAGTCTTACAAGCCACCATCTAGTCTTTATGGACCTTATTTTTTTCACGGTGATGCTTACAACCACTTTTCAGGTATTTACACAATTCTTATAGAACCATAATGAACAATTAAATGTAGCTCTATTTGATGTTACTCTACACTTTTATGGCATATGTGGTTTCTTCAGGCCCTAAAAGCTCCAAAAAATCAACTATTGGCATCATTATTGGAGCAGCTGTTGGTGGCTTTGTGCTTCTGCTACTTTCACTGCCTGCTTGGGTTTATGCTTTTCGTCAAAAGAAGAAGGCAGAAAGAGCGAGCCTAGAGAGCAACCCTTTTGGTATGATTAGCATTTATTTATCGTAGCATATTCTGGTTGATAGCACACAAACATTAAGTTTCTTGATCCATTCTCTGCTGTACAAATGCAGCACACTGGGATGTTAAGAAAAGCAGCGGAAGCATTCCTCAGTTAAAGGGTGCAAGATGTTTCTCTTTTGAGGAGCTTAAGAAATATACAAATAACTTTTCAAAAGCCAATGCTATTGGATTTGGGGGTTATGGAAAGGTGCTTTTC